GTGTGTCAAATAGAAGAAAAGCACCGACATGCTGCAAGATCTGAACATCAACAACTTTTAAATCGTACCATAGAAAATTTTCAACAGCCTGCCCGAACGAGAACTGCACAGAACAAATGTTCGTTGACGACTTTGCTTTTCAGACGGCCACTGAAAATACCATAACAGCTTCTTGTCCCTTCAAACGTCAGTGATGAAAGTAAAGAACTGGGCAACGAATTGGGATGTAAAACCTTTATTGCCTTTTCGTCTGTCCCTACGATAGAGTTATACTTTGTTATATACAGACATATGAGTCATAGACAATAAGGACCAGAAATAAATTTCATCCTATCCAGAACAAAAACCCTAGGTATTCTTCCAAAGGCAAGGTGTTGGACATGAAGCATGATTCCTCGTTATGTCTGTCTTGTTTACTCAAAAAGTAAGGTGGCACTAAAACTTTTGCAGAAAAAAAAGCATGCCGCAGAAGCTACGATACCAAAAGAGCAGTATGCTGTCCGTCCGCCTGACAGTTTCCCTCGTAGACCAACAAATTTTCAACTATGGGTACAGACCCCGTCTGCCCTGCCATAACTGTTTTCAGATAGCATATCCTCGCTCTAGCATCAGTAAGGTTAGATTGCTCCCTTTTTGCACGTCTCCCTCTGAAGTCGTATACATAGGGAGAGATGGCAGGTCTAGTTACGATGTACAACATTCTGTGATAACAGAGACAATACTGCCGACTACTTGTCATATGGGAACTCAGTCTAAAACTGAAATAAAGAAAACTCATTGAAACGGGATTATTTCTGTCGTTTCCGACTAAAAAAAAAAAAAAAAATAATAATATTCATAACGTTAAAAAAATCAACAAAAGGGAAGAATTCAAATCGAGTCAAAGGGCTTATGTAGGCCTGCTGTAATGAAAATAAAAAGGATAGAACATACTGGAAAGCCAATACGAAAACAGGAATGCTACACTAGAACGGGTAAGTATTTTATGCAATACGCCCCAATCTAATGGTCTGACGCCGCGAAAACGAACTTGTGAAACAACCTATACGGGGTTCACAAAATGAGCTTACGAATATCACACGGAGCAGCAAGAAGCACCCCTATAGGCAGTAAATATTTCTTACTTAGTTGAAAAACATAATTGGCTTCTAACCCATCTACTGAACCATAGATTTCAAGAAGAAACAAAACTATAAAGACGAAGTATATATTATTTCAAATGGGAAACGTTGAAACTGCATGCAAAATTAAAATTGACATACTGATTTGTGAAGCTCTCACAGCAAAACTAATAATTACCTGTCCATTCTTATCTAATGCATTCCAGAGAACCAGGAATAAATTGCAAAAAGAGCAGTCAGAACAAAGAACCTCTTCACTTTAAACACTCAGATATCAGTACTCCTGCAATATTTGGATATGTATGTTTACAGACGGTTTTGTAAAAAAGCTACAAACAGTAGGCGGGCAATTCTTCATTATACACTAATTGCAAAACAGAGACACACTAAGTATCGGCGTGGCGAGCTTGCATCAACTCCAGAGCAGAGGCAGCAGTCCTCTATTGAACTGAACAGTCTCCAGATACTTCAGTTTTTTTCACTTACGTAAAATCGGTCCTCAACGCCATCTTACGCTCTAAACCGGACAGCATCAAAATGATGTCTACAAGAGCAAAACTAGTTGAGCCGTGAGATTCAGCTTACGATGGATCCCTAAAAATGAAAAGGCAAAGCTACCGGAAACCTTGCCCTATCTGTTTCCGAGTTTTAGGACGCCAAAGACACTCTTAAAACATTCTCATCAATCAGCAAATCCTTTACAAAACGTCGCTCTCTGCACGGCACGCCTGAAAGTATCCCTTTGCCTAACCAGCTCTCCCGCCCAATGTGCTTTCAATGCCAATGCATCTTTATTGTCTTGTATCCATTTTCGCGTTAGTCGACCATTGCCTCGCCTTCCACAAACTACACCTTCCATCACTGATTTCTCCAAGCCACCATGACGCTTGATGTGGTCAACATACTTTAATTTTCGGGACAGGATGCTGTTTATGAGCCAGTTCTCCTTGATGTTCAACTCGTTTAGAATGTCGATGTGTTTCCTCTTCCTGATCCATGGTATTCTAGGAATTTTTCTATAACATTTCAATTCAAACGCTCAAATCTTTTTCCCCAGTGACTGAGTGAGAGTCCAAGACTCACAACCGTAAGTTGCCACAGGAAAAATGAATGATCTCAAGATTTTACTTTAACCAATTTACTAGCGCTTTGCCATAGGTTCTTTATGCTATTTAATCTCTGCATTGCTAAGTTTTCTTCTGACTGCTTTTGAGCAGTCGCCACTGTTGTTCATTAAAGAGCCCAAGTATTCGAAATCTGTTACATTTTTCTATTTCGTCATTTTAGATTGTGATACGGGATTGGTGTGCTGTATTTACTGAGGACATAATTTTTTTTTTTTAAATTCAGAAACAGATTCACTTCTTCGCTGTGTTTTTTGATGGTCAGAATTAATTTGTCTAAACCTTGTACACTGTTGGAAAGGAGACCTGTGTCGTCTGCATAACTAAGTTCTGTGATAGAATTACCTCAAATTTTGACTGACTGACTTTCTAACCACCAGGACATCACATAAGCGATAAACACCCGATGACACAAAGTACCACCATGTAGATGAGGATCACCGTGGAGATGTCCCAGAAACCGCCTTCAGACAAATGGCCATATTTAAGGCCTGCCTATATTGCGACCCCTGGCAAAAGCCAGGGTGGGGCTTCAAATAACAAAAAATTTCGTCCTAAAAAGGACAAAACTGGATATCTAAGGGACAAACTCAAATTTTTAGTGGATCAAAGCTCTCAAATGCCTCCTCGCTAACAGCGTTTCTCATAACATTTTCAGCCTATATGTTAAAGAGGGAGGGTGAAAGAATGCAGCCCTGTCTTACTCATGTCTGCTCTTCAAACTATTCTGATGTTTCACTAGCTACTCTGACCGCTGCTTGTTGTTCCTGGTAAAGAGATTCCAATAAGTGAACCAACGTTACAGACTAGACATTTTGCAAGTTGGGGGGGGGGGGGGGGGATGATAGAACTCAAAACTGCCATTACATCATTCATTTTGTTTGATTACATAAGGCATATTTCAAGGCAAAGAATACACTCGAGTAAGATAGTGAATTTTTTTCTGGTGTCGCCCACGATGATGATGATGCTATTTCCAGGGAGAGGGGGTCGCTGATTTTGTTTCACTGAAAATGGGGCAGTGGGTCAACAAGTTTAAGAAAAACTCATTAGATGACAATAGCAAAGTACTGAACGTATAATTGCTTAGTAAAACCAAACAGCCCAAAATGCTAGGACTTTTTATGCAACCCACTGTAAATGATTGTGTGTGTGTGTGTATCCTTTACAGGACGTTGCAGAACCAACCCCAGTAAATTTTGACTGTTTTGGTTTTCCTAGACAATTTTATGTATAGTAGTTAGCCGTTGCCCCGAAAGGTCAGCTCTCGGTAACACTGTCGAAACCAGCGCAAGACAAATCGTCCGCAGCTGGGATCGAACCCGGCACCACGGCATTACGGAGCGCGTTCGCAACGCCCGGCCTCAGAAACTGTCAATGAAACTCAACTAATTTTATAAAAACGTCTGATGTCGCAGTGGCCCGACGAGCCACGAATTATTTATTATTCCACGTAAAAACATGTTCTGATATTTAATCAAAACCCGCACGGAACTGCGGGGTACACACCATTTGGTGTAGCCGTTAAAGGTAGACCAATTATAATTTCTTTGCAGGTGTTATCTGGGAGTTGCCCTGTTGGGCTGTCATCCAGGATAAGAAGATTTGTGTAGACTCTGGGGTGGTGAAACCCTTTAGTTAGCAGCCCAGAGTTGGAGAAACACACTACGAAGATATCCCGATAAGATGTCGAATGATTATGATCATGATGATGATGATAATAACAGATTTACTGAGGTCAAAGTTAGACTGTAAAACAATATACTCCTACATGCAAAAATCAAGTCTTGTATGTGAATGTTGACTCAATGCTAGCTTTAAAGAATTGTGTTTAAAATTCTCTCAGTTGCATGTGTCTTAAACCTTGTGTTTTGTGTTAGCTAATATTTAGCATGTAAATCGTAAGACTACTTCTGCTGCTCTGCTACTGCTGCTGTAGCTGCTGCTGCTACAACCACCACCACCACCACCACTACTACTATTACTACTACTACCACTACTTTCACTTCTACTACAATCCCAATGACTGTTGCAGCGGTTTTTGTCGCTATTACTATGAATACTAATAGACAACGAAGACTACTGTCAAAAGCACGACAACTACGTAATCACCATCACCATTACTGAAACTTGCTACTTCTACTGTAGCTGCTGATGATTCACTTTTATTTGTGAGCACTGTCTCTATATAGCGTTTCAGCACTCTGTTCTCAAACATCTATATGCAGTATGAAATATTCTTCATCCTGACCATGCAACGTTTGCGCAGTCTTTTCAACATTTAGCGTACAATAGTCAGTGCGTCTTCTATCTAGTGTTATAAAATATGTTTTATAATAATGGTAATATTTATAAAAATATAATACCATTTTCTAAAAATCAAATAAATTGTATTAGTACAATTAAAAAGAGTGATTATATTGTATCAGAATATATATGTATATATAATATTACTTTGGCTCCCAGGTTGTCCCAGCCTCAAATGGGTACCAGGTAAAGTTCTGGGAAGTAAAGATGGCCGGTTGACAGCATCACCTACCGAGTCTAGCTTGATGTGCTCACTACGCCACTAGCGTAAATGAACCTTTAATTTTTAATTACATTAAATAAGTGATACTTTTTTCAGATCCTCCACCCTTCCCAATTTAAACAATTTGAAAGTTTGGCATGGCTTAAAATAATATATATCCTTTTTTTTTTCAGGACAGATAAAAACCTCCTATGGAACCCTAAAGACTACGGCGGTATAGATCGTATGTATTTTAATGAGGATCAGATTTGGGCTCCAACTGTGTACATTGAAGAATCTCAAGCCAAAGGTCCCACTCTGTTTAATTTACCTACGACGCATTTGGTCCTCCCCGATGGCACGGTCACATTTGGCTCATCCGGTGTGCTTGAAACTTCTTGCAGTCTAGATATGACTTACTTCCCCTACGATTATCAATCGTGCAAGTTCGGATTCGGAATTTTAGATTCCTCCAGGCGGGACGTCAACTTGGTCTCAGACGAACGTGGACCGCAGAAATCAGCTAATTATGTTCAAGACGGAGAATGGGCCGTTCATGACTTTGGCACGGCTGTGAACCTTACGGGGATGAAAAACTACGAGATTCAGACTTTGTACGTTATTCTGAAACTCCAAAGGCGGTCAACGTACTATGTGCTGAACGTCATCGTCCCAGCTGTGACCGTATCTCTGTTGAGTCTGCTGACATTTGTTGTTCCAGTGGAGAGCGGAGAACGCCTAGCCTATGCGCTGACAAACCTGCTGTCACTGTCAGTGTACATAACTTACATCGGAAGCATCATGCCTTCCTCTTCGGTTGACCTTCCAATAATCCTCCGTTACTTGGTTTCCCTGTTTATTATTAGCTCCATGTGTGTTGTTATGACTGTAATAGTCATAGCAGTTCGATGGAGTCGTGTAGTCATCGTAAGCGAAAAGCTCAAGTGCATTTTTATTTTTGGATTTCCTTTCACTTTGCAGCGCAAGGACAGGCTTTTCGGCGTGGTCAATCGGTCAGTGAGAGCCGTCAGGTGTCTGGAGACCAACCCATCAGTTGAGACAAACACTGAGAGCACCAGTATGTGTTCATCTGAGCTTCAGAGTCTGTGCGAGTCACCGCAGGAGAAGGTTGTCTTTGACGAATCCTTCAAAGGAAAGGAAGAAGCCCTCAAAGGAAAGGAAGCAAACAAAAAACACAAACCAATGAGTCTCAACAGCCTCGCCAACAACAACGTCCGACAACCGCTGTCCGGTGAGAATCCAAGAATTAATCACGTAGAAGAGGCCCATAAAGTATTAAGAGAACCCTTTGCTGAGTTTGAGCTGATCAACGCGGAAATGGACCCAGATATTGTCTACATCTGCTCACGTCTGGACCTTGTTAGTTTCGCTGTCCTGGTCATTTCTTTTCTGGTAATGACAGTGCATTCATTTGTCATGATGAATCAGCAGACAGCCCATTAGACTACTGCATACCGTGGTCATCGTGTGGTAGGCATTCTGTTTGACTTCGTTCTAATCACGTTCCCTTGGCATTTTCCCATGCCTCATGCATTGTTGCTATGTACATTCTTCAATACTGAAATAACTGAAACTAATGAAATTAATTTGATTATCACTTGCATATTTTTTCTTCTCCATTGTACTGGGGCTTTTATTATGCATACATTAAATTTCCATTGTGTTTTCCCCTACCCCTCCAGGTATCGCTGGAAAAAGATGCTGATGTGAGGATGTGAATAATAGACAATCAACGGATGCCAAAGAAAGTTTGTTGAAAAAAAAAGTTTTTATTCTTTTAATTTGGTTTCTAAAAAAGAAGAATAAGAAGAACATCATGCAGCTATAAAGCGAAATAAATCTGTCATAAAATAAATCAACTCGTATAGAGAGCTGATTACACTCATGTGCCCAGACCAGACCACTCATAATGAAGAGTAGATTACATCACAAACATAAAGTGCCCTGGTTACCACTATCTTACACTATTGAATTATGTTTCTGGCATTCGTGTCTGTTTTATTCGCATCCGAATGGTGGATCATTCTAGAATAACTTGGCAGCAGTCTTTCTGATATCGATATCGGGAAGAGGGCGCTGGGGAGGGGAGGGGCGGGAGGGGGTGGGGGTTTAAAAATGTGAGGCCAAAAACTGAATGATAGAATGAAAGCAAACACACGAAAAGAAAACATGTGTTATTGCGCCGCGTAAACAACCAGATGGAAAGCACAGAATTCTAGACAAAGTCGTTAAAACAGCTACTTAACTTCATCTCCGGGGGCAATGTTACAAACAAAAATCAGCTGGTTATTGAGAATTTACACAGATGATTTTCAATAAATACCTAAGCACTGATGTCGTATTTTAAAACAGAGGGATCACTATAGGCATTTCAAAAACAAACCCCCCCCCCCCCCCCCCCCCCCCCCCACCCCCCCCCCCCCCCCCCCCCCCCCCCCCCCCCCCCCCACCCCCCCCCCCAAAAAAAAAAAAACATGAAAAATTTTTTTTTTTTTTTTAAAGGGGAGAAAATAAATAAAAGAGACCTACATACAGACAGGTTGTTGGTGATGAGGTAATGGAGTCATCTCTCCTGAATGCACGATGTTCACGCACGTCCGGAATTGAGTTTATGCTGTATCATGTCAGCGCGACCTTCTTGTATAGGGTTTCCGCTGCCATTGCGCACTGTAACTCATTCACGTGATTGTTTGTGGCGGGTGTGTGCGCGCGCGCGTGTGTCTGTGTTGGAATGTTTTCACATGGTACAAGCTGTTTAATGCTGTTAGTTACGCTTTTATTTGCTGAGTTTCTCTCTAAGTGACTTGAATTTACCGGGTAATTTACTGGCGGAACCCATTACGGTAAAAGCCCGTGTGTATATGTGCGTGAATGTGTCTGTGTGTCTGTGGATTAAAATATTTCATAGGACGCTGCAACCAATTCGTATCATCGTGAGTGCGCGTGTATGTGTGTGTGTGTGCGCGCGCGTGTGTGTGTGTGGTTTCACCTGGTTCGAGTTATTTCATTGGAACCAGCCAAAGTACCTAAGTGATGAATCATTGTTGTGACAAAACCGTGTTTGAACATAGAGATCAGTTGAAAACTGTGCAGCTGCGGGAAAAGTAATACTTCATTGTATCTTGTGTGGAGTAGGAATTTATATAGTGAAAGAGGACCTTTTTGTACACCCTCAGGCTTATGGGCAAAAAGGTGTAGACCTATATTTTGTATATCTATCGGCACTTGGTGGGCGATGTGATCAGCGTCACACCGGCCACTTTTATTTTCCAGGACTTTACCTGGTACCCATTCAAGGCTGGGTCGAACTGGAAGCCAATGTGATTTATGAAAAAAGTTCATAGATCAGCGTCTAGCCGTTACACCACGATGGCTCACAATTCACATGGTGGCTCACAATTCACATGGTGGCTCACAATTCACATGGTGGCTCACAATTCACATGGTGGCTCACAATTCACATATGTGCCTATAGTATACTGTGAAATGACAAATATCAGTTCTATAAATTAAATGATCGCAATGTTGAGTGGAGGCCGAAATCAGGAAATGAATCATAATAAAGGAAGAAATTTTTGCAGAAAGTAAGAGAAAAAAACACACTCAATACATAAGATGGCAACACCCGTCCTGAAATTCCATGGTATCATTGTGGAATTTTTATTTGTATGTATAATTGTGGGGTCGACCTCTGGATCTGTTACCGCTGTATCTGTATAACATTGCTCTCTGTGGAGCCCTGTCTGATTCCAGTCTTATTACTTAGCTGAACCATTTGATTTGTTGTCTACCTATAAAGTTCAGTGTTGGTTCTGTGCCGACTGATTCCTGATATAATCGTTCCTAAGTCGATCTTTCCTCGTTACACCTGGCGTAGTACGTAAACATTTCATTTCTGGCGTGAATATATTCCTCTGTCTTCTGAAGACGATGTCCATTTTTTTACATTGGTAAGAATATTATGTTGAACAGTGTTCTTTTAGCGTTCATATTCACAAATTTGCATTTCAAAATTGGTGCTGTTTGGCTTAACACTTGATTTGCATGTTACCCAAATGTAACATTCATCTGTGATCACTGATCAGTAATGCGCTTTTTTGTTTAGCTAGTGAAAGTTAGGTCGTTACGTGTGAAGTATGGAGCCCGCGGTGACCATTAATTATGTTCCGAACTCGGAAAAATTTTCTCGAGGCTATTAAATTAACGACTCTATGAAGAATAATATTTATAAAATTCAGCATCATATTTATCTGCCATGATCCTCACAGTCAGACATCAGTCTCACCGTATCCGTTCTCTGACTTTGGCCTGACTTTGAGTTTATCATTATGAACAGAAATGGGACATCTCGGCTCAACTTCATCGTCCGTCTTGTCCACACACGTTTTGAATTGTGAATACCATCTCAGGCACTAAATAAACAATGATCAATTTTTGTATAAAAATTAATTTTCATTAACTAATAAACCAACCCATTCATGTAGGTTAAAATGGGGGAAGTGATAATTTAAGGCTTGATGAAGTAAAGTTTCAAATAAATAGATTTCTATACTTGTCTAGAGTCAACACCTTTTTATCTGCATGTCTTATATTGTTGATTAGATTAAAATGGACTATAGCTGTTTTATCCCCTCAATGTGTGTTTTTTAAATAAATATTACAGTCATTTTATTATTACATTGTTATGAAAGCCAGGCGGCCCTAAATCTTCAGGATCAATGCATCCTGTCTACACCGCCCTAAAAAGTGGCTACAAACAGACAGTAGTAACTGTTACATGTTTAAAAAAACAATACTAATTAAGTCTCTCATATCGTACGTTTTATATTATGAATTCTATATTATCATGTAAATCTCATCCATGTTTAGTTATTATGTGTATGTGTGATATTAATTATGTCTGATAGATGTTTCGTTATTATGCTTTGTGTAGTAAAGATTAAATCTTGCTTATATGTAATTATCAAATTTGAAGGTTAAACTAATTGTGTCTGCTAGTTGTTTTGTTACAACGTTTTAATGTATAATTACCTTACGTATGCCTTCTTGCTATGTTTTATGTATTACTAATTACGTCTCGCATATATTTTATTTTCATGTTTGTATGTTTAACTAATCAAATCTCTTATTTGTTTCGTTATAATGTTTTAGTGTTAAGTTACATTACGTGTCTTGTTATTATATTTATGTTTGTTGGCAATTAAATCCCACACGTTTAATTATGTTGTGTGGGTTTTTTCAATCGTACATTTAAAAACCAAAATCACATCTATGTACATTTTTCAATCTCGCTGATGCGAGCATCCCTCCCCCCACCATTATTACTCGTCTGTTTAAAAATCAGGCTTGTGTTGACTTTAAACTTTCATTAGCATGTTTTGTTTATATAACAAAACAATTTTAAATAGATTTTTACTAAAAACTTTACTTACATGCTATCAGAGAAGCACAGCACATCATACCAATAGCAATATTTATCTATGATTTGCAGAGGGTTAAAAATTGGAACGCTCTTTGATGCACGCGTAACCATGCACCTCTCACTTTCTAAACAAAATTACGGGTTTGTTGTCGCCAGCTGACTGGGCGGGTTAGCAGTTTTGTAGCGTCATAGATTAAGGTTAAAAAGCGTACAAGAAAATATTTTCAGAAGCAAAGGTGGCCAGCTTGATGTTGGCCACAACACCTATCGAGTGTCAACAGGTCTAAACGAAAACAAATAGATAATAATTCTGACATGATATGGCCAATGCGGCACTTGTTTAAATAGGCTCGGACTTACATGGCTGGTGTAAAATACGTTAGGTAAGTACAAACATGTATGCTTAACTAAGAATTCGGAGTAAAAACGTTGGGGTCTATTTGTACGCCTGGCTGACTTGTGCGCCGTAACTTACGGTACTTAACTGTAGATGGATGCTGCTTACTGGGTGACATTCTTGTGTTTTTGCTTACTAAGTGACAATCTTGTGTTTGTTTTCGCCATTATAAAATAAATCTGACTGTTTATTTGTCGGACTGGGTCTGTTTATCTTATAAAGTCTGGCAAGCGTTTTATTTGTACACGTATCAGATACTCCTAACGTATGTTTTATAATCATGTCTGTTTGATCAGTTTGATCAAGCCTCATATGTGTTTTATGGTAACACTTGTACGCGTTAACTTATACACCTTACATATGTTTTATAATAATGTGTGTGCGAAATATGTAAATTAATACTGTTCTCACAATATATATATATATATATATATATATATATATATATATATATATATATATATATATATAATATATATATATATATATATGCTTGTTTTCAAAATGTAAATATCTTGGGGCAGATGGCTAAAGTCTTGCACTTTACTGTACGATGAGGTACTGCTGAGGTTGGTGTCTTTCTGTTAATACTGTATATTTGTTCCTTGTTACCATATCTTTGTG